CGGTGATCCCCTCCCCTCCCCCCCCTCCCCTCCTGCCCACCAGGCGAGACCCTACAGGAGGAGAGGGCACGTGGCGGGATATTTGTGGGGTCCGATGGGCAACAGTTTCCCCAGAGACACATGCCGGTGAGTCCCCTCGTTACTGTCACATGTTGTTGTGGGCAGCAGCTTTCTAAGAGCCACATGCCAGTGAGTGGGTCCCCTCGTTGCTGTCAACCCTGTCTTTAATGACATTGACTATTCAACCGATCCTTTGGGTTTTGGTGGGTTCCGAGCGGTGGCCCTCTCTGTTCCCCTGAGCCTTGCGCCTGCCGTGCGCCTGCCGTGCGCCTGCCTTGCCGTGCGCCTGCCTTGCCGTGCGCCTGCCTTGCCGTGCGCTTGCCTGCGCCCTCGACGTTCCAACAGAATGCAAGCATGCCTGTCTTTGGAGGGGTGCAGTACCATCGAGCATGGTGGAATATTAAGTTGCTTATCCTTCTGTCTTCGCACCTCTCCTCTCCTCTCCTCACATCTCCTCTCCTCCTCACCTCTCCTCTCCTCTCCTCACCTCTCCTCTCCTCTCCTCGCCTCTCCTCTCCTCACCTCGCCTCTCCTCTCCTCACCTCTCCTCTCCTCTCCTCACCTCTCCTCTCCTCTCCTCGCCTCTCCTCTCCTCTCCTCTCCTCTCCTCTCCTCTCCTCTCCTCTCCTCACCTCTCCTCTCCTCTCCTCTCCTCTCCTCTCCTCTCCTCACCTCTCCTCTCCTCTCCCCACCTCTCCCAACCACTTCCACCCTCCCCACCAGAACGCCAGCATGCGTCTGTTTGGAGGGGCGCAGTACCACAGGGCGATGGCGGAATTCCGGTTTGTGGTGGGTGCAGTGCGGTGCCCTGCGATATCGAGGGAGGAGATTGTGAACGCTTGTGGAGTGGAGGACGTGCATGACGGCACCAACTACTTCAGGTGAGGGGGGGGGGAACTGACAGGGATCATACAGGGGTTGTTGGGTGTGCAGTGCGGTGCCCCAGGGGGGAGTCTGTGAATGCGTGTAGAGTGGAGGGCGTGCATGACGGCACCAACTACTTTAGGTGTGTTCATGCGGTTTGGTTGGTTTTTTCAGGGTAACTTAGAAGTTTACCTCTTGGGGTAATGGCGTGGTCGGCATTGCTGGGATGTACCAGCCAAACCGCCTAGTAAACATGATGTGATAATGAAGCGGCTTTAATCAATCAGCTCGTCCCTTGCTCCCTTGTTCCTTTCTCCTTTTTTTGCCCCTGCAGGACCGCATGTGTGATTGCTGTTGCTAAGGCGTGGGACGTCTTTGAGCCATTCCTGCGACAGGTATGCCATTCCTGCGTCTTTGATCTTTTCATCTAGCAGTCTTCCCTGCCGTTTATGATGTGTCATAAGGTATGCTGCCCATCCACCATATCTCCCCTTTTTTTTTTTTCTTATCTTCCTTCCTTCTCCATCAGCTCGGGTGTTGTGTGACATTGTAACGAGGTGACTTTTGAGTCGACTCAAAAGCAGTTTTCTTCCCTCCTGCTCCCTTCTCCATCAGCTCGGGTTCCGCCTGTCGCACATTGTGGGGCGGCTTCTGCCCATCGTACTCTTCCTGCTCAAGGTGAGTCGTAAGGTGGTGCATGTTAAAGAGAGCTTTCTTTCTGTCCTCTTAAGAGCACTCTTAAGAGCACTCTTAAGAGCACTTCTTTGAGTGGACTCAAAATTGCGCAAGGTGAGTTGCGCATCGCATGGCTTGTTAAGTTCTGAGACGTCTCAAATGCACGTTGGGGGCGGACTGCAGCCAATAGTGCTCTTTCTGCTCCAAGGTGAGGCGTAAGGTGGTGCTTGTAAAGTTTTGAGAAGGCTCAAATGCACGTTGTTGGGCGACTGCTGCCCACCGCACATACTCTTCTTGCTCAAGGTGGGTCATCATGGGGCTTTTTAAGGGGACGACTTTTGAGGGGCCTCAGAAAACATGCTGGTGCGACTGCTGCCTATAGTCCTATAACTATCTTACGGATATTCCTCCTCATGGTGAGGCGTAAGGTGGCGCTTCTTCAGCATAACAGTCTAGTTTTACGACGATTCCAGCTATATTGCGCGCTACATTGTGCGGCGGCTCCTGCCGATAGCTTCTCCTTTTCAAGGTGAGTGGCCTTGAATAACATTGTCCATCTAGTGTCGGGAGGAGGTCACATCTGTCTTAAGGAGAATCATATATCTATCGTACGGACGACCATATAACTATCGTTAGGATATTCATATATTAACTGTAAGGAGACTCATATCACCAAAAATGTCTCTTTTCTAGCACCTCTGCGCCTCTTGATGGCTGCACGCCCTCCCACCCGTCGGTGATTTTTGAGTCGACTCAAGAATCGCCTCTTGATGGCTGCACACCCTCCCACCCCTCGGAGAATTATCAAGCCAGTACTGGTGCACCGAACGTTTCTAGTGCGAGTACAAGTTTACTCAAGATCAACTCCTTTCTCCTCTCTCTCCCCATGTGATCCCACCCACGTCCAGAGGGACAACGAGCCGATGCTGGTGCATGAGACGTTTATCGAGCGCGTGCAGGAGTCGTACCACAAGTTCGTGGACTCCACTGAGCGATCCTGCATTGACAGGTGAGAAAACGAGAGGGGCCTGAGAGTTTGAGAGAGGGAGCAGGGTTGGATAGAGGATACAGGAGCGAGGGGATCAGCCTAAAAGAGGGCGCAGGAGTCACAGCTCAGGTTTGTGGACGCCACTGAGCGATCGTGCATTGACAAGCGAGGGATACAGGTTGTTGGGTGTAAAGGGATTGTGGAGGAGTGAGAGGGGTATACGAGTGAGAGACTGTTGACTGCGCGAGAGCTAGGAGTCGTTCCACTAGCTCCCTTTCTTGTACGTCCTTCCCCCCCCTGCTGCAGCCCACTTCCTCCCCTTGCTTCCCTACATGTTTCCATCGTTCCTACCCTGCCTTGTGCTGCTGCCTCCGATTAGTTGCAAGGAGGACCTCACCAGCACCACCACCTCCCCCAGATCCCCCCTTCCCATGGACTCACCTCCCCTTCCCTGCTCACTCCGTGCCATGCAGGTGCATGGAGGATCTCACCAGCACCACCCGCTTTGTCACGTGGTCATTGCACAACAGGGTATGTAGTCTCCACACTACAGTAGTGCACTGTTTTTGAGACTTGACACGTAATAAATAGCCTGCCCCTACTTCAACGCTTGAATGCGTGTCACACCCAACCCAACAGGGTAGAAGCTCTCACTCCAACCTCCAATCTTCCCTCCTCCCTGCTCCCCTTCTTGTTCACACACAGCCCCCCTTACCCACACCACCACCTCCCTTCTACTCTACCCCTACCCTACCTCGCCCCCAACCCCCCCATCCCTTCCGTCCTCCTTTTCCAGTCCCATTGTCATTCTTCGACCCTGCCATGCCAAGCAATGGCTCCTCCCTGCTCGCTGCTCAATCCAAATTCTATATCTATCTCAAACCCCCCCCCCCCCCCCCCCCCCTCCCCTCCCCTGCTCGCTGCTTCCGCCTAGGTCCTACACGTTTCCTCTCTCACCCCCCTGTACTCTCCCTTCCCTTACCCCCATGCCAACAGTCTCGCTCCGCCCTGCGCTCGTTCTTCGACTCCGCAATGCCCAGCAACGACTCCTCCCTGCTCGCTGCTGTGGGAGCCTTCGAAGCCGCCACCCCAATGCCGGTCCCCACTGCCACAAGCAGACAAAACTCGCCGCCCTTTGGGCCGACAGACTACCAGTCGAGCCCCAGCGATGACGGCAGGGGAGAGCGAGGCGGAGGGGGAACAACGGGACGATCCGCTGCAGCTGGTTCTGCTGCGGCTGGTGCCGCTAGTGGTGCTGCTGCTGGTGCTGCTGGTGGTAGCAGCGGCACTGGCGGTCGGTTAGCCGATCTGCTCGAATCAACCCTGTGGACGCGGCGGCTGGCTCCATCTTCCGAAGACATAGTGAACGCGCTGGTGATGCAGATCTTCGAAGGGATTAGAGATCACTTTGTCATGGCGGCTGAGTTAAAGTTCAACTGCTTCTTCCTCATGCCTCTGATGGACCGCTTCCCTGCAAGGCTCAGGGAGGACCTGGAGGCTGTGGCCGGGGGGGGCTTGGACGCCGTGTTTGACATCTCGAGGGTTCGAGGGCAGCTTGAGAGGAGCCGGGGGGAGCTGGATGAGGAGCTGAGGCGGGTGAGTAGGGGCTGGTGGGTGGGTGGGGTTTGCTGAGTGGGTTGACGGGTGAGATGGTTGGGTGGGTGGAGGGGTGTTGGGTGTGTGTACGTGGATACGAGTCCGTCGAGGGTCGGGACCAGTTTTGGGAAGCAACGTTTAGAAATGTGCAATGGATGCCTGCCTGGTGATGTGAGACCTGGATGAGGATTTGGCATGCCGGAGTGAGGCTGTAGATGACAGAGTATCCATCATAGTCGCATCATCATCATCACCATCATCATCCACATAATCCATATTTTCTTCCTTCTTTTTGTACTTGCTTGCTCGTTCAGGTGCATGCACTTCAGGCCAAGTTTGCCAGTATTCATCACAGCCTCAGCTTGATTCCATCCAATGCCACGTCAGCATCGCCATCAGGATTTTTTTTCAACTCCAACCTCTCCGGAGGATCATCATTTTCCTCCTTAACATCAACAGCAGCTGCACTCCCTCCCCGCCGCTTTGCGGAATCCCTTGCCTCAGTGTTTGAGGCACAAGGCCTGTGAACGCAGAACTTTCGATGAGGATAGCGAGAGTGGTTGAAAGCATACATTCATGCTTTGGCTTTTGTGTGCATTTTGTGAGTGAGCAACGGATGATGTGCAAAAATGCACGCCATCTTGGCTTTTTTGCCCGTATTAATTGTTTGTGTATGGATTGTATGTGAAAAGTTATGTGCAACGTTAAGAGAAGATTTCTCTTATCGAGCCCTGACGAGTTTCCCCCCATCTAGCACAGCCCCTTGGGAACTCCATTCTGCATGCACGCGGCACATGTCATACCATACTCACCAGAGTCGTCACAGAAATTCAAGAAATCTGCAAGAGTCAGAAGCTCAGGAGGAGTCGTGAGTCAGGGATGTCGCTGGCAGCCGCAGCATCTGGTCCGTCCGTTCAACAGCCATACGTGGCGTCGCATTCCATCCCATGGCCTCTCAATTCCATGGTCGGGTTGACGTGAATTAGATTTCAGTCCCGTGTCCCCCCGTGAAACCCCGTGTCCCCCCATGTCCCATGGCCTCTCATCTCCCTCCAAACCTCCAACATTGGACAAACATGGACCACTTATTATCAACCACCATCCACCACCACACATCGACAAGCATGGCTTAGACCACCAACCAATACGGGCCACTCGGTTTAGACCGCCTCGATATATCTCGCCAGACCGTCCCGAAGCCGTCGAACCGAATCTCAGGGCGAACGTAGGGTACTTTTACTCGGCTCTAGAGCCTTAAGGTCGCACGTCTTGCGAACCGTAGCTGAGGGAAAGCAGTAGTAGCTGCTGGTCGCATCGTCTGTCGATTGTGAGCCGGTCAGCATGGGAGCGGGACAGTCAACGGAAGACATTGACCAGCTGAAAAGGTGCGTCGTGACTGCGCTGTTTCTCCGTTTCTTATTCATGGGTCATGAATGGTGAGGCGCATGATGAATCATGGGAACTGGACAGTCAACGGAACACATTGACCGACTGAAAAGGCCCGGCGTGACTGTTTCTGCTTCTGTTTCTCACCTCTGATCGTCATCTTTATGCTTGACTCATGTTTCTTGCTAGATTGATTCGTCATTTATGCTGGATTGATTGACGCTTCATGAATCATGGGAGCGGGACAGTCAACGGAAGACATAGACCACCTGAAAAAAGGTCCTTCAGTCATGGTTGCGTTGTTCCTCACCACTGAGTCAGTGCATGTGCTTCATTGTGAAACTCCTGCTGCAGGTACTTTTTAAGATGAAAGTTGATCAAAGATTGCCATTCTTTATCATTTTTCTTTCGCATCCGCTGCTCAGGCTGTACTCGCCTCAGGAGGGGAACGAGCTGCAGCGCCTGATTGAGTCACTCCACTGCTGCGAGAACTGTGCTCCTGGACCAATCTTCAACATTGGCTTTCGATTTTGTCCTTTCTGCACCCCCTGCTGCCCCCCTGCTCCCCCTGCACCCCCTGCTGCCCCTCCTGCACCCTCTGCACCCCCTGCTGCCCCTCCTGCACCCCGTGCACCCCCTGCTGCCCCTGCTGCCCCTCCTGCACCCCCTGCTGCCAGGCAGGCTGTACTCGCCTCCGGAGTGGGAAGAGCTGCAGCGCCTGTTTGTGTCACTCGCTGCACAGTCACGCAGCAACGGCCAACACATCATTGCCTCGGTGTTCCAGGTGCTGCTCCTGGCTTCTTCTTTTTTGGCGTTTTTAGAATCGGCTCGTCATAGCGTGTGTGTTCCAGTTACTGTTTCTAGCATTACGGTTCCTAAGTGTGCCATTCCCTTCCGCCATCGATGCTATATTCTGCGTCTATTTTCTGCGAGTTGCTTCATCATACACTGTGTCTGAGATTCCGTGCTTCTATGTCTTTGGTGTGGTGCTGTGTCTTTCCCCACTGTGTTTCAGGCCTACTATGGCATTCACGGCAGTCTAGGTGCTCGTCTCTTCGAGATTGCCACTCAGGGAAATAAGGACGGCCTTATGCGGTTCCAGGAATTTGCTGCACTCAAGGTGGGCTGCATGCCATAAAGCACCGGATATTTTGTTCCCCTGATGCTGACTGACTGGGTTCACCTGATGCGGTCTGGGTTCACCTGATGCGGTCTGGGTTCAACTGATGCGGTCTGGGTTCAACTGATGCGGTCTGGGTTCACCTGATGCCGTCTGGGTTCAACTGATGCCGTCTGGACTCACTTGTTGCTGTCTGGGTTCCCCAAGGTCTCTTGATGGCATTCGTGTCCTCTTTACAGTTGGATTTGTTCTCTGTTTCATGAAAGTTCTGTATCACTAGATGACATGGACATCTACTTTCTCCTGTGTTCTTCAATCCTTGCCTTTCTTTTTCCAGGCTGTGTTTGACAAGGGGTCTCCAGAGGATATTGACCGCATGTGCTTTCAAGTCATGGATGTACTCAAGTCAGGGAAGGTCGACAGGTAGCTACCGGCTGGGATTGTACCTTGTGCCTTGTGGCGTGCGAATGGTCTGTTCATCCTTACTTTTCTTGTGAATCTGAGTCCCTTTGGTGCATATGCTATCAAGTGGGCGTACTCAAATATGGGAAGGTTGACTGGTAGCTAACTTACAGCTGGGATTGTGGCTTATGAGGGGGAAGTCTCTTATGTGCATCGCATTGCAAGGTTTGATGTTTGCATTAGGGCTGTCTATGTACGGGCTGGTCACTCTTGGCAATGGGTTCACCGTTCAACAACAGTTCTTGGCATTCTGCCTGCCTCTATTCCTCAATCCGAATGCAGGCGAGAGGTCGAAGAGGTGATTCGCAGTGCTCTCGCCACCATATTTGGCCCTCTACACTCCCCCCCAGTCGCGATCATCCAAGCCTTCGTCTCCTCTGCCTTTCCCACTGATCCTCGCTCTAGCCCAGGGACTTCCCTAGCTTCCTCCTCTCCTCGCCCCTCTGCTGCTAGGTATTCCGCTGCTCCTAGATCTCTGCCTCTCTCGGGCAGCACCCATCCCGCTGCATCTGCCGCATCAGCAGCACCTTCAGAGGGGCTTGTAGGAGTGGAGAAAATAGAGAGGAAAGAGGCAGGGAGGCCAGTGCAAGAAGGGGATGGTGGAAGAAGGGAGGAGAGAGTGGGGGATTGCCCAGCTGGGGAGAATGGTGGGAAAATTTCAAGGCATGATGACACTGTCACTGGTGGTGGGGCTAAAGACCCTAGCACCGCCGGTGCTGGTAGTGCTGATACCATCGATGCTGCAGAAGATGGCAGGGAGCTGTCCTACCAGGATGCCATTCGATGGTGGACCGTGGTTCCTGCAATCAAGAAGTTTCTCCGAAGCCTCCTCACTCCTCCAGATATCCGTGAGTCCCTCCAGAGTTAGAAGCTCGTTCTAGTTTCCCTGGCTGCCTGGCAGGCAGCGAGTTTTGCATCAGCTTGACATCTCGTCATGAGACAGTGGCGTGTCAGTCAGCCTGTTTCCAAACCTTCTGCTTTCTCCAAGCCGTCAAATCCCTTTACTGCTATCCCAGGTCCACCATTCCCATCGCTCTTTGCTCCAACTTACACTGCCAGTGGCGCTCTGAAGCGCCTCAGTGCGCAGTGCCAAGACTTCCCTGTCGTCAAAACTTCCCGCCTGTCTTCATATCTCCCTCCCTGCATCCCAGGCTCCCCATTGCCGTTGCTCATCGCTCCAGCTGTCGCCACCAGTGCTGTTTTGAAACCTTCCCCTTTCTTCAAGCCTTCCCTGTTGTCTGTCTCTCTCTCCCGCTGTTCGAGGTCCACCATTGCCACTGCTCATCGCTTCCGCTGACACTACCGCATTGCTTTGAAGCGCGTCAGTGTAAAGTTCCAACACTTCCTGTCTTAAAACCTTCCCCTGCCTTCATATCTCTCTCCCGCTATTCCAGGCCCACCGTTGCCATGTCTCGTCCCTCCACCTGTCACCACCAGTGCCCGCCACATCAGCACAGAAGAGGGGGAGCAGCAGCAGGAGGAGAGGGGGGACACGTGGCTTCTCCAGAAGGAGCTGACGTGGCACATAGCTGGTGCACTACAGGACAAGGAGTGCCGGGAGTGGTGCTTGCTCTACAGCAGCAAACTGCACGGCCTTAGCTTCAACTCGTTCCTGGGGAAGGTGAGAGCTGGGGAAGGAAAGAGCATAAACTTGTGGTTGAGGTTATGACAGGGGTTTAGGTGTGCTGGGAGCGGTGCTTGCTGTACAGCAGCAAACTGGCATGGCCTTAGCTTCAAGTTGTCCCTGAGCAAGGTGAGTGAGAGCATCAAATCCTGTACAAGTTGCAGCGAAGGGCAAGTGTGGGAAGTGGGGCTTGTCATAACGAATCGTTTGCTTCTCTGCCATGTGAGTGCAGCATGCTCTTCAGCCGCCCCTCCTATAGTCACACACACACGCCTACTCTCATTCCCCCCAGGTGTCATCTACATTGCACCCAACCGTCCAGGTGACTCGTGACTCTGCTGCCACCGTCTTCTCACCCTTTTGAGTCGAGTTCATCTCTGCTGGCGCCATCTTCACAGCCTTCGCTTCCAAGCTGTGGGAGCGAAGCAGTGCTTTCTCCCCTCCTCTCCCCCTCTTCCCCTCTCCCCTCTCCCCCGCTCCCCCTTCTGACTTCCCACAGGTGTCATCAGTACCAGTCAACCACCCTGTTAGTTCGTGACTCTTCTGGTGCCATCGTTGGTGCTTTTGCTTCCAAGCCATCGGGGCGAAGCTGCGATTTCAGCTACCCTCCTTCCCCCCCCTCTGTCGTCCAGGTGTCATCATTACCTCATCCCACCATCCAGGTCCTTGGTGACTTTGCTGGTGCTGTGTTTGGACCTTTTGCCTCCAAGTCATGGGAACGAAGCAGCGCTTTCAGCCCCCCTTCCCACCCCTTCTCCCGTTTCCCCCTTTTTTCCCCTTTTTCCCCCTCAACCCATTCCCCCCTCCCCCCAGGTGTCATCAGTACCGCATCCCACCATCCTGGTCATTCGCGACTCTGCTGGTGCCGTCTTTGGAGCTTTTGCATCCAAGCCGTGGGAGCGAAGCAGTGCTTTTTACGGTGACATGCGTTCTTTTCTCTTCTCCTTCCTTCCGAAGGCTGCTGTCTGCAAAGCAGCCGGCACCAGCAACAACTTACAATGGGTAGGTGACTCTGACTCCTGTGGAAGCGCTGTTTGACCCACAACCGAAATTATATGAGTTCTCATGCAGACTTCGCCTTATCTAGAAGGCTAGCGCTCCTCTTTCTATGGTGACTTACGATCCTTCCACTCCTTTCCCAGCGCTGGCGTATTTAAGCGACCGGATGTCTGGAACCAGCAACCGCAACCATGTCTTGCACATGCATACATTAACACCCTACTATCTGAGATCATTTCCGCGAGAACCATGATGTTCAAGGCAGCAAATTTCATTCTTCATTACACCTCAGCTTCTTCTATCCTACCCACCTTGCCCTCCCAATGGCAGTGTGCGTCGGGCTTTGCATCCGAATCCATCCCCAATGGTATCGGCCTGGGTGGCCAACCAGGCCATTTCGGCCTTTTCCTCTCATCTGATTTCGACTCCGGTCACTCGCGCCCCAGCACCACTTTCAACTCCCCCTCACTCTCTTCCTCACCAACTTTCAGTGTAGATGCAGTGGAGTGTTGGGCCGTGAACAGTGCATCCCTTTCCGATAGAATTTCTGCTGGTGAGGGGGGTTCAGGAATGCTTGGATCGTCAGGGGCTGGAGTAGGGAGCGGGAGATCGGATGGTTCTGACAGTGCGAGGGGCACGGTGCTTGATCGCTTTGGGAAGGAGCGTGCGATGTTGGGCATGATGGGAATCGCAAATGCTAGTGAAAACATTGGGAGAGACAAAGCGGATTGTGAATTATAGTTCTGAGTTGGGGTGCAGGGGCAAGTTTTTAGTGCATCAAATTGCCGTATCTACAGTTTGATGTGTGTAACAAAGGACAATCTAGAATAGGGATTGAGATGTAAGAAAAAGAGGGATAAGAACTTTGGATCAGTACAAGGCAATCCCGGTCATAAAATACGGTTTTTATCGAACCAGCATAGCGGGCCTGCTTGGTCGGAGCAGTCAACGCAAGTCGAGAATGCGATCCACGTGGCGAAGGTAGCCGCCAAGGAATGAACCTGGCTTTCACGACTATCTGCGTCGAGCTGGCTTCGAACCGCGAACCATTGGTGGATTAGAGTCCAGCCGAGTGCTTCCTCGTCAAGCTGGGTAACCAGCTGTTTTCGTGAGAGTATGCTGAGGGGCTGATGGGTCAGTTTCTTCGAGAAATTCCTTCGCAAACCGGTAGAGGTGTTGACACGAGTGACTTGTGGGATTTCAGCGAAAATTTCTCTCCCATGGTGTAACTGAGCGACCCAGCGAAGACAGTGCATTGTTGGAGTCGCAGGCACCCACACCACTGCAGATTTGGGACTAAGCAACCCTCGTTCCCGCTGGAGCTTGCGAACTCCAGCGACAGTGTTGATTTGTTCTTGCGACGATGCTCTTCGCCAACCACCCCTGCGAACCAGCGGCATTCACCACCTCTCTCCCCCCCTCTTGTCCAACGCAACACAAGCAACACAATTCATGGCGCCTCCTGGCATAATCACCCCACCAGCAGCTCTACTTATATCCCTGAGAACGCCATAGTTTCAACGCCACACACCGACGACTTCAGTGAAACGTGTTCCTCAAACCCGCTCCGAGAGTAGATAGAACGTGCAATAGCTAGAGTAGCTGGGGTTATCTTCGACGAGCCTTTCGAAAAGCAATATCTCCATTGGATTAGTGCTACCAGGGGACGACTCACGTCATGGCGTTACCGCGTTTCCTTCAGCTCTTATTCCTCTCCCTTATCCTCTCCACAATCCACTCTCCATGCGCCCTCGGGTTCTTTAATCGTGGCCGGATCCTCATTCCGCCGCCGCACCAGCAGCACGCGCGCTTTAGAGACCTCAAGATCGGCCGCTCGAAGCTCCCGCTGAGCCCGTTCGAGTCCCAGGCAAAAAACGCGACCGAATTTCAGCTGAACGTCGCGAATCACGCGAGGGTTTCGCCTGTGGATAAGGCGGCGCTGCGGGATGCTAAGAAGCGAATAGAATCCGAGGCGCGCACGAAACGCACCTTCGGAAGCTTCCTCCATCGCATGTCCATCCGCGGCGCGGACCCCGAGAAGGAGTATAAACGCTTCTCGAGCCGCGTAGAGACCATGAAGGAGAACGACTACCAGATTTACTACTATGGCGGCGCGGTGCTGACGCAGCCGATTAATCTCTACATCATCTACTACGGCACGTGGTACCAGTCGGAAGTTAACATCGTGGAGACTTTCATACGATCCGTCTCCTCAACCTCGTACTCCTCGGTGTGTGCGTCTAAACTCCTTCGTTAGCACGCCTCTGCTGCATTTCCTACTCGTCCCAAATTTGCAAAACAGGCCCCTCCCCGGCACGTGGTACCAGTCGGAAGTCAGCCGCGTCGTGGATTTTTTCACCTGGAAAATTTCAAGTCTACTTCGTCGACCTCGCACTCGTCGGTGTGTGCGAGAAGAACCTTTCTCTCTCCTCATTTCTGGCCTAAATTCCTCGACGAGGCGGAAACAGTTTTATTGTAACCCGACACGCGTTTTTCTGCCGCTGGACAGCCCCACTCGAAACCCTAATCGTTTAGAGTTTGGCCAGAGCCCCCGCAAGCCCCAGCTTCCCCTTCTCGCCCACCCCCAGCGTTCGCCAGAGTGACTCCCGCCTGTACCTTCTCGCCGCTCTCCTGTCGCCTCACTGCCGCCCGCCTAGTTTCCTGCAGTGCCGCTGCATTCAGGATTGCGCGACAGGGTACCACCACGGTGCGCGGATGGTGGAACGTGATTTTATTGGGGCTTCATCTCGCCTGAATTCTCGTTGCCGTGCCCTTCCCCTAACCCTTCCCCTTCCCCAACCCCTCCCTCCTCTTCTTCTTTTGCCCTTAGGATTACGCCACGGTGCGGGGATGGAGGAAGATGATAGCATCGCGGCTTGGTCGCACCTCAATTCTCATCCCCACGCCCTTCTTTCCCCTTTTCCTCTTCCCCCCTCCCTCATCTTCTTTTGCCCTTAGGATTACGCCACGGTGCGGGGATGGTGGAAGATGATAGCATCGCGCTACTATCAGATATCTCAGGGAAAGTACTCCTACATCACTCCCAAGGTAATCCTAAAGGCTTGAAATAAGTCTATTCGACTCAAGAATATACTCCTGAATCACTCCCCGGGTAAACCTAGCGGTTTCTTTCATTTAACGTTCCCTGTGTATTGGGTGCTGTACATACTAGCATTCTATTGAGGTATCTGGTTCATTCCGTTCACTACGGTCCATTCCATCGCTCTTCGCCTCCCTTCATTGCTCTTCACCGCTCTGGGTTGCCCTCGAATATTGCAGATAACGCTGGCAGGGACAGCATATGACAAGTACTCCAGCTCGAGCATCGTTGGAGGTAAGCTTACAATCTGCATTTGCATGCGATCATATCTGGAGCAGCAAAATTTTTCCCTTACGTTCTTTCTTCCCACTTCATTCATCCCCCTTTCTAGATTCCCCAACCTTATTCCACATTTCCCCGAATATCCAATCCTCAAACCCGTTACAACTAGTGCAGCTATTGAGAAGCAGATCATGACAACCAAGCGCTTCCCCTTGGATCCGAACGGGATCTACATGGTGCTCTCCAGTGCCGATGTTACGGTTACCATTGGCGGGGACGCCTTCTGCGACAAGTACTGTGGACTCCGGACTGCGTTCACTGGGATAAAGAACGGTGTCAGGAGGCTGTACCAGTATATTCACGTTGGCAACCCTATTCGGCAGTGCCCGGACTCTTCCTGCGTTCTCGGACAGAGCGAATACTATTAGTAAGTGTCCTGTAAATCTCCTGTTGTCGCACAGTGTAATCTCCAGATGGTTCCATTCCATCACTTCTTCACCTGCTCCTCTCTTTCGCTTACTTCGCTAGTGGGTGTTAAGCTTGAGCCTTCATTCTCACCCTTGGTTTTCCCACCCTCCCTGCATTGCTTTTCTGGCCAGCAAAACGCCAAATGGGAACTGGGGTGTGGACAGCATGATAGCAACAATCGGCCACGAGTTGGCAGAAGCAGCCACGGAGCCTGACTTGGAGAAAGGTTGGCATGACGAGACGGGGATGGAGGTCGGAGACAAGTGCTCTGCTGACCTTAGTGCCAAAGTTTGGGTGGCAAATAAGGACACAAAGAACAGCTACATATTTAATACAGTCGGGTCGAATGGCGTGAGGTTCTTGCAGGAGGCAATCTGGAACTACTCACCCAAGAGTTGTGTTGTGCAGTGAAGGATAGGAGGGATTAGTGCAGGGCTGTGCCTCCGGCATCTGTATTTGTAGTATTTGTATGCCGGGAATAATGCTATTATTCTGGGTTTCTGCTTGCATCGAGTTCTGAGCGTGAGGGTTTCGAAAGGTTTACACAACTGAAAGAAACAAAAAGCAGTCTTGCAGGCAGCTGTTCTCAGACATGCTCGGCGAGGTGTGCCATTCATTACACTCAGCATGGCATTGAGGCACCCTGGAAGGATGCGATGCGAGAGGCAGTAGGGGACAGGAACACAGTGTCTTTGGAAAAGGTACCGTCCATTCCAATCAGCAAATGACCAATGATCAGAGTTTGCTGAGAAATGCGTCTGAGTGCTGCTCGAGAATTGTGTCCGATACATGTCTAACAACTCCAGCGCCTTCAAAATGCAACCACTCCATTTTCACCTGCGAAGAAATAGAGCAGATGAGAACTCTCTGGCAAATGGAGCAGCAGAAAAAGATTATCTGCATTGCCAAGGACTTACAAGGATGTTGTTGTGGGCAGAGAATGGCCAGAAGGCCTCCTCAAAGTTCACGTCCACCTTCCTCCACGACACCCGTTGCAGACCAGCAATCATATACTCTGCATGGAGGGAATAACTAAGTTGCTGGGGTATCAACTGCGGGCACAAACCTTGCAGCCAACATACTCCTTGACAGTATTCTTACCTTGATAAAGCTCGTGATCCTTAGAAGGGTTAGTTGTGAAAGATCTGGGATCAGGCAAATCAGTGCCCTCAGCAGCAAGACAATTTTGGACAAGCACGATGTGGCGATAAAGCGGGCTAATCGATGTCTTCGGAAGCTGCAATAAGTACACAAACGAGCTTGTCAGGGTACTCAACTACCAAATTTCCACTACCTGCCAAAAGATGGAACCACTAAGCCATACAGACCACGGGAAGCTCAGCTGCTCTGCGGATAGACGCGGTTTGCCAGCCAACCATGCGGTCGTAGCCAGCATTTGCATAGCACAGTCTCAACCTGAATGCTTTGAGTGCTGATCTGAAAGAACACATGGAGTGCAACTCAGCAGTTTCAAACTCGTGTTGAATGACTCATTTGCACAAGCAAGATGGGAATATACACTCACAGGAATGGTTTGCCTTTGCTGTCAGCGGCCATTTCAACGAGAATAGGAAGCTTTGTTTCCGACAATGAGCCATCAGAAAGGAAGAGCTGGCTTCCTGTTTGCCCGGTGACGAGCGGAGCTACAGACGGAGCGAGCTTCTCCAAAAATTGCACACCCAACAGAAACGGAAGCTGCAGGGGGGATCATGAGGGGTGGTAATAAGCCTGATTTTTTCCCAACAGCAAGCCTTGATTCATCAAAAGAGCACGACAGATGGAGCTTACCTGACCCTTTCCAAAAGCTCCCAAGTGTGGGGTAGCCAACGTGATAAAACATACTGGCTCCAAACCGGCAATCAACCCAGGTCGTTGATCAGGGTCACCAACGGTAACCCCCTCGCTGCACAGTTGCCGCCATACGGATTGTAAATCCAGGGGAGACGCGGAAATCCGTCCTCGATGAAAGGAATTTACTAAAGGAACTGAATTACTCACCTGTTATGTGGCTCGTGGAGCAAGGCAATCGCGTAGCGAGAAAATAGGCCTCCTAAAGAATGAGCCACAAATGTTATTCTTTGTAGACTGGGATTCTTCTTTACGAGAGTCCTGACCTGTATATGGATCATATGGATTCTACTTTAAGATGTTAAACAGACATCGCATATGCTTTGCTGACATTAAAAGGGATTGCATTTGCCCACCTCATTGGCTAGACGTTCTCCGGCCGTTACGACGCCTTGGAAGGTGAGAAGAAACTCGTTAGACGAGCTTGCTGCGAATTCACAGGCCCAACGAGGTTAGGCTACCACTTATTTAGCAATAATGAGCCCTGCTGATCTCTAACAGTCAAGACTGTGACTTACGGACCATAAATGAGAAATCGACGTCCCAGTTTCTTTTTCAGCTCCCCTCGAAGGTAATCCCAGTCACGTACTCTGAAAGGCCATTCCACAAACGATCATTCGGGCTTGAAAAACAACTTCCTAGTCCACCGACGAGACCGAACCCGCTGTGAGGTAGCAGGCTTAACGGCGAGTCGAGAACTTACGTTGACACGATGCCGTGAACAAGTATTACTGCATGAACTGGATCCTCGTCACTGCGTTTTGACACCGTGCGGCTTGCTGACTGTTTCGAAAACCGAGAACTTTTTGACGAGCTGGTGGAGGCTTCTTCAACTACTTCCATGCCTCCTGTCTCTTGCCGTTCAGCTATCACCTGCTTCCAGTCTACGGAATATAACGAGCCACTAGTCTGCATGCGCTGGGGTTTTGCCGTGCATCTTACTAAGCTTAGCTGTGCTGCTGAAGTCAAACGAGGCAGCGACCACCCCAATTTCGACATTCTGCAAGTCCCCTGACAAAGCCCTTTCGGCTCGCACTCCGCTATCCCGAAACCATCGCGACACTCTCAAAGGCAATCGAACGACGCCGAGCTGAATTGAACTGAGCCCCCTCGGCGCGGAGTGCAAGAGCCGCAGCCTAGCGTCGGTGCTACTACGTAGTGTTCAAGAGAGGGAGCTTCACGTTTCCCTCCACCGAGATTGCCGCATGCCTGTTGTTGGCCCATGTCTCAGTTTGTGCAGGCGAGAGCGTGTGATGGGCTGGGGGTGGGTGGGGGAGAACTCATGAGTCATGTCATGATCAATCCAAGCTGACGTGGAAGTGCTGGCTTTCAGGGGATTTGATGATGAGACGATAGAGGGCTCACAACGGGAGCTTCGTTACAGAGTCATTACACGCCAGACCAACCTACACTCTTTTTCAAAAACGACACGTTATCCTAACTTTATGAGGACTCATGCTAAAATGCTTTCACAATATTTATTAACAAGATTTACACTTACACAAACACATCCACCGAGGCCAGGGCAACTAGCTTGGCGGGAAAAAATTGCCACGATGAAACGGAGGCTGCACGTCAAGCATCGCATTGCTCATACAAAGCTTGGCCAAGTTTTCCCGCCGTTGTTCAAGGCTTTTAATGTATTGAATGGCCATGCTGATTAAGGTACACGTGTCCATCTTGGTGAACGACGCCCGCCTCTGCTGGCAAAACGTAGAGGGAATGGCGTCTTCAAGCTTGCTGAACGCAGCCCTGAAAAAAGGAAACAAAATCGAAGAGGCTTAGTAGTTTATTCAAGCGATTAATTTCTAACAAACCGAGCCATACGAAGGCTGTTCATATGACGAGAAACTGCAGGCTTACAGGATGCGGTGTCGGCGATTCTTCTCGCGCATACTTCTCGGTTGGATATCGCCCTTGCTAAGATTCCCGCTCCATTGAGATCCGCGGTTAGTAGGCGCAGCAGATGCAAGCTGATCTGGACACCGCGCCATGGGAGCGGCTGTGTCACAGCATTCCGCTCGCACGGGCCGCTGGGCAGCCAAATCGTTACTCCGCGAGGAAAGGGCTTCCTTTTTCACTTGCGGGAAATCGTATGCGATATCTGCAGCGCCGCGCGACGGCAGAAGAGCTTGGCCTGCCGGAAAAGAATGCCCCGCTGCGATAAGCGCGTCGTTGAGCATGTGCTGAATAATAACCGCATTATCTATTCCGGCGGAACCGTTGGACTTCTTCTTTCCGGCGCGGCTCTCGATGATTTCCTCCGAATGCCGCTTCTTTCCAACCCTGGCTAGTTCTTCGTCGCTCGAATCGCCGCGCCGCGGTTTAGCGGCTACAGAAACTTCCGTGGACGCTGACATCGCGCTGCGAGTCGACGTTTCGAGGCTCTGGTGACAATTAGGAGCGTCTGCTTGAAAGAAGTTACTCGCGGGTTGCCAGCAGAAGTTGTCGTACCAAGGCTCGAAGCCGACGAGTTCTGGGAGCAAGCTTGCAAGTGCTTGTGACATCGCGTTGGAAACGGGTCTCTGTGGACCTGAGGGCTGGATAAACTGATACAGGACAAGTAGTAGGGCTACTGCCACAATACGGTATTGCAGGGCTGATCGTGAGTGTAGAGAGGATGGGTGGGATGGGAAGCATTTAGTAGTGGAGGGAGCGGGGGAGGAAGCAGGTGTGGGGAAGAGAGAGGGATGCAGTTGTGAGACACTTGCAGCGGGGAGTGAGGCGAAGATCAGCGACGATCGACGACGATGCGAAACAGAATCTGCGCGCGCCTCCTATGACCTGGGGGGCGCGCGCGAGACTCGTAGCCTCCGCGAATCCACTTCCCGTGTGACTTTCTCCCCCAACCCCAAGCTCAACGCTCCATGAAGCGCGGCTGACAGCAGCAAGCATCTCCCCGGCTTCTGTGCGGGGCAAGCTCGGGTTAGGGGAAAGACTGGGGCCAGATGCATCTGGACAGGATCCAGGGGGGAGGGGGATTGGAGGTGATCTCTTGTCGCTTTTCTTTGATTCAAACAAAAGCTGATCGACTTGCAGCAAAACTGTCGTCACGTGTTTGAAAGGGCCAACGAGATTTTTGACAGCGCAGAGTCAGCAAGTCTCTGATTCGGCAAGAATACGTGGGATGCCGAGGTGTGGTTGGATTGGATTGGGGCTCACTCGTCGGCTATAGGACGAAGCGGACGCAATCTAACATCAGCGCTGCTGACATGTCCGATGGGGAAACAAATGGCAGGAATTTGTCGGTGATTGTGTCCGTATCTGAAAGAATCACGTGAATGTTATAAGATTCACATGGGACGAATCGTCGTTACAAGACATCGAAGGGCCAAACTGGAATTCAATACCCAGGATTTCAAATGGCGAAGATTAATAACCCGCATGGTACATCTATATTTGAATATCTGACTATAAAGCAAGTACAACACAAACACATCACCCATCCCAAACTACCACAAGAAACAGACATACGTTAGCACCTGCTGGGCTGAGTATAGCCCAAGGATCTTTTCAGAAGGCTATGCCCTTGTAACAGAGTGCTTGATAGCAAAGCGGAAATCTTGAGTTTGAACCCTTGTATCGGTATGTGAGAACAAGCGATTGATTATAGCAAAAGGATATAAGCTTAATAGAACAATACAAGAGAATATGAAGAGTCTAAATGTTTGTGCACTTCAAGGGGTGCATTCCCTTGTATTTGGACGGTTATTTTTCCTTGCTGTCGCGCTGATTCTTGACTCTTCCGATTCTGACTGTTGGGTTGCACGATCAACGGTCTGCGTCCGTTGCCCTTTTGTAACCTCTGCGGTGTGTCGTCAACCTGCGTCAACTGTCGGTAATACTGTAGCAGTGTTGACTCGATGGTCCCTGTTGCTACGGTCTTCGCGTATTCGTACACTCACGCAAGAGTCCGAAAATGTCTTAAGTTCTTATATCATTTCCAACACCCTCCATTTCTGGAGTGTAGATGTGGTCAAGGTTGCCGACGTGTTGCAGTCCAGTCAGCAGCATGCAGTACTTGGACTTCATCTTTATCAGCTTCTTGGTCAACTAGTCGGCTGCCATTTCAGTGGTGGGATAGTAAACCAATTGGAGGTGACCCTCCTCGATCTCGTCCTGCACGAAGAAGTAACGAAGCGAGATGTGCTTCGTCCTTATCGCGAATTCGTTTTTGTTGGCGATTCTAATTGCTGATTGGTTGTCGCAAAAGAGAGAGAAGCTCGGTAACTCAGCAATCTTCGCTTCTTCAAGCGGCTCGCGTAGGTACAGTCATTCCTTTGAGGCTGTGCGATATATTCGGCTTCAGCAGATGAGAGAGCGATTAGTTCTTGCTTTCCCGGGTGCTAGGAGATAGTGCCGATAGTTTCTAGATTGTAGATGTAGCGGTGCATGAGCGTCGGTTGTCCTTATTGCTGGCGTGATCAGCGTCGACGTAGCCGATAAGTTCGGTTTTGGTAGCAGCTTTCTTATGGTAGGTCATGCCGATCGTCGGGGTCGAGAAGAAGTAGTGGAGCACGCGATCGAGTTCCCCCCGTTCATATCGCTTAAGGTAGGTAGCGAGCTAGCTAGCCGCGTAGGAGAGATCAGGACGACAGGTAACGGCGGCGAAGAGCAGACATCCTAGTTTCTGCTGATATTCCTGGATCCCGGCTGGTGCGAGTAGCGAGACGGTCGACGCGGAAACTGGCAGCGCATAGGTGTACAGAGTAGCGAGAAGTAGTCGGGACAGGTCAAACCTCCGAGCGATGGACTCGGTGCACTTCGAAGCTGTGAGGTGGATGATGTCGGGGCCGTCAGTGAGGTTGAGGCCGAGGTACTGCGTTACGGTCGGCGACACGGTTATCGTTAGCTCGAGTTCTAGCTCCCCTTCGAACCAGACGGTGATTGAACTAGCGGAGCCGTCGTAGAGCAAATCATTTATGTAGGCGATCAGCAGGACGTAGTCGCCGATGTGTGACAACCTGTACATGCCTTGATCGTGAGATAGTTGGGCAAAGCCCTGCTATTTAGGATCCAGTGCAGGTACTGCTGCCATAGGCATGGGGCCTGCTTGATTCTGTAGATGGATTTGACCAGGTTGCAGACTAGCGTTGGGTCGTCGACGTAGGCGTGGGGCTGCTCGACGAAGATGTCAGCATCAACAGGGGCGTAGAGGAACGCGCTGACGACGTCGATTTGTCGCAAAGGAAGGCGACGGGCGGCGGCGACAGCGAGTAGAATGCGAAGGGAAGTGTGGCGAGTGACCAGAGCGAAGGTCTCGGTGTAGTCATTACCGTACTGCTGGTCGAATCCGCAAACCACCCATCGTGCCTTGAATCGTTTCATGGTTCCATCTGCTTTGGTCTTCACTTGGAAAACCCACTTTCCGGAGAGAATGGTCTTCCCCTTGGTATGAGAAATCGGTATCAGCTTCCAAGTGTTTCGCTCGTACAGTGCCAATAATTCTCGATCCATTGCCTCCTTCCATTTTTCTCTGTGTGCTCCTTGAAGTGCGCGCTTGACAGTTGTCGGCTCCTCGACTGGCGGCGGTGAGGACGGATGATGCACGGCTGCTACGAGTCTGACGATTTGCAGGCCAGTTTTGGTGTAGCATGGGAGTGTTGGATCCTCGGGATAGTGTGCCTTGTCTCCCGCTTAAGGATCAGGCACGAAACCTGATCCTATGCGTTCTAATACGTTGGTGTTGCCACTGTTGGATGTTACGTAACCAGCATCGACGAAGTGGTAGTAGGCTTCAGCGTTCGCGCTTTCGCGAGGATTTTCTTCGTCCATCTGCATGCCGATGGAGCAGTAAGGACGTGGTCCTGTAGTTGCTGATGCGTCCGGGACGTTCTATTCCTCCTGCAGCTGCTGACGCGTGCGCCAGTGAAACCATCGGATGGATTTTAATTGGCTGCGATGTTCTCCAGGTAACGGTGGAGCGTGAGGTTCTCGTAGAAAATCACATCACGCGCTGGTACTGTTTCCTTATTTTCAACGTGTAAAAATTTTCAAGCCTCGTAGTGTTTTTTTACACCCAGGTGTAGGCCCCATCTTACCCGCTGCGAAAATTGTCCAACTCGTGCAGTGTGCAGACGATACTGTACCATGCAGCCGAACACTCGTAACAGTTTTGTGCTGCCTTGCTTCCCTGTCCACAGCAGATGCGGTGATGCATTGTTTGGCAGGGAGCTTGATGATAGGAGAATCTGCAGCATGACGGCGTGATTCATCGCCTCCAGCCACTGTGAGTTGGGCTGACGCATATCAGTCAGCAGCTTCCTTATGGTGTTCAGGAGGGTTCTGTTCATCCTTTCTGATATGCCATTCTATTGGTGAGTGTAGGGGAGGGTGACGAGCCTCTTGATTCCTCTCTCAGCGAGGTAGTCCTTGAATCACTGTGACTGGTATTCCATCGCCCTGAATGGCTGAAAAAATTTCAGCTTCGTGTCTCCCTCCCGTTCTGCTAAGCAAGCCATGCGACGAAGGCAGAGAAGGCGAGGTCACATGACGGTATGTTAAAATGCCAGGTGTACCGTGTCGCGGCATTGGCGAAGGGGATAATGTAGTTGAGGTCGGTCCGCCCGAGTTATCGCGGGATATACAACATGTCGCTATAAATTTTTTCGGAGTAGAGAGTACTATGGTGCGCTCGGGTTGTGATGCGATGGGAAAGGTTGTCGAGGAAGATCTACTTTCGGGCAGACAAAGCAGGTGTGTCAGGGCCGTCTGAGTTCACGGCCATCGAGAAGGAGAAGAGCATCCTTATTTAGGACGTTCATACGAATTGTGACGAATAGTCTTAAATTTTCGGGATGTCCTAACCGTTGATGCCAAATCTCTTCACTCGCCCTGTGTCCCACAGATCGGCAGTACAGGTCCGAGTTGGCATAGAAGACAGAGACAGTCGCGGTGCTTCGGTGCTGCTCGCGAGGATGCACCTTCAACTGCTCGGCATCAGTTCGTGGTGGCTCGTCAACGGGTTCAGTTTCAAGCGGAGCTTCTTCGACGGGTGGCGCCGACAGAAAGTTGTCTTGTCGGTGCTTGTGGTTCTGCTGCGTGCTCTGTCTCGTGTTTTTTTCTTCCCACGTCACCGCTAATGCATATGTGCTTTCTGCTTCAAAAATGGTGTTGCATTACCAAAAACCGTCGCGGTCGAACGCGGGGTCAAGATCCGGCGGGTGCGTCAAGGGCGCAAAGGAGACGAATCCATCGCTGTCGGCAGTTCTGCGGTCGGGAACAAAGTCCAATTTGAAGACCCCGTGTTTCTAGACGGCTCTGCTGATGAAGAGACCGCCCTTCCAGTGATAGAGACGGAACTCTTGATCAAAGCTGTCACACTCCAGGTAAATACCCTTCGACTTGAGCTGGCTGACACTTAGTAGGTTGTAGCCGAGATTGTCGACGACGAGTACTCGTGACATATGGAGTACTACATTTCTCTTGCTGGATTATAACTGAGCGATGGCTTCCTTTTGTGTGCGCAGTTTCTGGTTGTTGGCAACAGTGATGGCAACTTTTCAGCTAAGAGTCTTCTCTCGCTGGACGAAGTGTGTTGAAGAACAATATGTTGACCACAACAACTGTCAAGAAACCACGAGTCACGGCCGGATGGTTCGTCGCGAG